ACACTGGTATGTTCTTAGTGAAAATTCACTGACCTATGTATTTACCAGCTATGTACTTTTTGTATATTTTATAATTTATAAAGTCTTATATTTTTAGGCTGGGCACAGTGGCTCACGCCTGTAATCCTATCACTTTCAAAGGCTGAGGCGGGAGGATGGCTCTAGTCCAGGAGTTTAAGACCAGTCTGGGCAACATAGTGAGACCTATTTTTTTATTTTTTTAACTTATATTTTTTAAAATGCTCAATCTAAAAACTTGTCTTACTAAAAAGCACTGATATCATCCCTCTTACCAAAGTAGTCAAACCCTAGTGAAGAAAACAGATAAGTAACGAAGCAATTTCATTAGATAGCTATGATAGAAGTAATTACTATGTGCTACAGGAGCACATAAAAATGGTACCTAACTTAATCTGAAAGGGGTAAAGGAAAGCTTCCTGAAGAATATACATCTGAACTGAATCCTAAAGGTCAGACAGAAATTAGCCAAGCAAAGGAAGGGGAAAGCAGAAATCAGGGAAATAGAACACCAAATGTAAAAGATAAGACAGAAAGCACATTACCTGAGAGGAAGCCTAAAGTCAGTAAGAGTGGATTAAAGAATTTAAGGAAGACAGCAAGTGAAGAAAGGCTAGAGAATTAAGAGTTAGATTATAAATGATCTCATATACATGCCATGCTACAGTTTAAACTCTATCCTGAAAGCGATGAGACAGCTTTTTTGAAGATTTTTCAATAGGGAAGAACATGATTTGATTTTTATCTCTACATGTCAAAATTATGGTGTGGGCCACGCTCACAACCCCATTTCGCGGTAAATGAGCCTGCACACTGCCCCATACTTTCTACCACTAAGATCTTTCCCCATACCCATATATACATACAAGCACACAGCTAACAATAAATGGCCAAGAATAGTGACATAACCTAAGTACACACACTTGTTAGCAATCAATGAGAAAAAGAGCTGAGCCAAAGAAATTGTTTCTTGGGAATTCAAATCAGAAAATCCTAGGGAAAAGGAAATGGTTAGCAACAGGAGCTGAAGTTAAAATGACTGCAGCCAAGAGGTGAGATGCTGGCATGGGGTCACATAGTAGTTATAAGGAGCAGAAATTAGGAATAAATGGAAGCTATGACATGGTGGGAAAAACTGTGGAGAAGAAAGAAAGGGTATCTAGGACAAGTTAACAATGCAGCACTGGAGTGAAGTCTCCAGCTTTATTAGGTTCTTATTCTTCTTGAGAGTAAGTTTTATTAGGTTCTTGTTCTTGAGAGCAAATTGTTTAACTTTTCCTGGGTTCCCCTGTGTATGGTTCCTTTCAATAAGCACTTCATTACTTAAGGTAACTTGAGTCTCTTCCCCACAATTGAAAGAGCTTGGCTAAAAGAGCATTTTAGAACGCTTAATCCAACAGCAGTCAAGAGAATGAACTGGAGGGCATAACAAGAGGCAGAAGACAGAAGGTAAGAAGACCACTCAGCATTACAGAAGCCAAATAAACAGATATTTTTAGTTAAAATAAGGTAGAGGCAACAAAAAGTAACAAGGAATGACCTGAAATATCATGAGGGAAAACGTACTAGACAGTAACAAACTGGATGTTGGCAGTGAACTACAGAGTGAAGCCGAGGGCAATTCCCAGGTTCCTGAAGGTTTCATGAGGAATCTCTCCCCATCGTTTTGGGTGGGAAAGAGGCAGGAAGAGTTTTGTTTCCTAAATGTTTGGATTGAAGTGTTTGTGAAGTGTGAATCAAAGTGGTGATGTCCTTTGGCAGTGCTTTTACAGGGGTCTAGAGCAAAGGCAAGCACTGTAGACAGCAGTTCTAGACTTAGGAATCAATACATTAAGTCAATACTGTGGTTTTTAAAATGTCTGAAAAGTCTTTGACTAATATTTATTTCAAACTGAGTTAATATAAACAAAAATCACTCCAACTAAAAACCTTAATATTCTTGGGAAATCATATTTTTTTTTTTTTTTTTTTTTTTTTTTTTTTTTTTTTTGAGGGAGTCTCCTCTGTCGCCAGCTGGATGCAGTGCACATCTCGCTCACTGCAAGCTCCGCCTCCGGTTCCCCATTCTCCTGCTCAGCCTCCGAGTAGCTGGAACAGCCCCACACGCCGCTAATTTTTGTATTTTAGTGGAGACGGGTTCATTGTTAGCCAGGAGTCCATCTCCTGACTCGTGATCCGTCTCGGCCTCCAAAGTGGATTACAGCTGAGCCCCGCGGGAAATCAATTTCAAACCTACACTTCTCTGCAATTATTAAAGATTGAACAAACTTCCACATAGTATAATCCAAATGATTAGGAAAGATGGAGTTTATATTGCTAATTTCTATTGAGGTACTTTCTTAAAAAAAACTCTTAAGTTTACCCAATTTTCCTCAGGAACTATATAGTACTAAAATAACTGAGGGAAAATAACTGTTAAAAATTCATATATTAGATAGTGAATCTCACTGTTAATGCTTAAACTGGAATAAGATTTTTTTTAAGGAACTTAATCATGTAATTTACTAATTTAAATATTCAACTCTACCTGTAATTTAAATGTTGGGTTTCCATCCTAAAACCTTTTCTCCTTCCTTCTGTATGATTTTGCCTCCAAAATCTATCAACCCAGAACCTGACACTGCACTTCAGCCACAAATCCAGCTGCTTAATGGTCATCTACATCTGACAGAACTATAGTCACCTAAACTGAACATGTCACAAATTAACCCCCTATCCCTCTTCCTTGACAAAATAAAAATAAAATCCCACTCCTTATGGGAATCCCCAACTCAGTGAAAGGCACAAGCCAGAATCCTAGATTTTATCCTCTATGCAACTTCTCCGCAACCCCAAATACAATAAAATCACCAACTCAGCTCCCAATATCCAAGTTCAGATCCAGTCTCACCATTTGCCTGGATAACCCTAATATTCCTGCCTTTAGCCTTATTCTACTCTTCAATTCACTACAGCCAGAATGACTTTTTTTAATGCAAATCTGATCATTCCAGTCCCCTGCTTTAAAATCCTCCAATAATTTAATAAATATAATTACCACAGCTAGTCACACTGTGGAAGCTCAGAGGTTCAATGAGACATTTAGTTACATCCTTTCTGTAGGTTCAACCTAAAAGAATCATGAGGAATTTTTTTCAAATCACAAAATTATTTAAACATACATATAACAGCAGATACATTTAAAAGAAAAGCATGTAGCATTGTTGGTAAAAGCAAAAAACCAAAAATAACCTCCAGTCCACAAAAATGGAATACTATCCAGCCAGTAAATGAGGCACTTCCATATGTATTGCTAATAAATGATCTCCAGGATGTAGCACTAAGTGAAAAAAACAGGCTATGTATAGAGGGTAAAGTAGGCAACCATTTGTGTATAGTGTCTTAAAAATATAAATGTATATAGGTTTATATATCGAAAATATCTCAGAAAGGATACACACGAAGCTGGAAATAGTGGTTGCCTCTAAAGAGGAAAAATGGGTGGCTGGAGAATGAAGGCGGAACAGAAACTTTTTACTACATTACTCTTCTGAAACTTTTGGCTTTTAAGTCTTGTTATTATCTATAATTTTAATGTGATTTTCTCCTTCTGTTACTTTAACATTTTTTACTGTGTGTGTGTGTATGACTACAAAGACCTCTTTATATTTCATCTTTATACCAATATTAAAATTACGTACTGATCATTTGATGGAACATTACGTTTCTTTCTTGACAACTCGGGAGCTCAACTTCTACAAACATTTTATTCAACATTTTACTGCTATCGAGAAGGCTGTTGTTGGTAATGACCTCAGTGAACACTGCATGATTTCTGTACTTGCTTCTTGGAGAAGCAAGACAGCAGCACCAGGCAGCAAAAGTTTATTATTAAACCGACATCGAAGTATTCAGGGATTAAGGAAAGCTATAAGTCTTATTTTTCTAGCAAATCCAAAAACAGTGAATCCAAAAGTCCCCTGGCATCCTTTAAAAATAAAAATAAAAAACAGTTCTAGTATCTGCAGCAATCGGTAAGGAGGTGAAGTAATACTACAAGACGACATAGTTATATCCACTAGTGCCACATGATTTAATCCTTACAGAGGTCCCTAAAACGCCAGAGCTGAACAACCTCACAGTTCTACACAGAACAGACAAGATGAGGCGCAGGCTCTGTGACCTTATAATGGCACACACACAACTGGCCCCATGCTTCCATAACTTCACTCTGCCTCCCGCTTTTTTCAGCCCAACCCCTCCAAACATGGGTCTCGGTCGGTCCCCTTAAGTCACAATGGAGCGAATACACTAGGCTAAGCAAATATTCCCTCAGGATTTCATGGCAAAGCCCTTTCAACCAAAGAAAGGATCGCGACTGAGGAGAAAGATAACAAGGTTTGCTTGAGGAGAGGTCTGTGAGAGAGGCTACAGTCGGTGGTGGGAGAGAAGCCAAAGTCTGTGACGGCTGTCACCACATCTACCGGGAGTAAGAGCACCATGACAGCGGCTATCTCAAAGCCGTGATGGCTAGGGTTAGCGCTAGTCGGCTTGGTGATGAGCGAGCTGGGAGGGGGTCTATTAAAAAGGGTAGGGCGAGGGGCACCTGGGGGACGCAATGGGTTAGGGGGCGGTCGAGACTTTGTCTCAGGAACTGTAATGAGGTCAGCCCAAGGGAGGATGTAACGGAGTCTGGAAGCTCCATTAGGAGTCCTGAGAGACTCTGAGGGGTTCTAATGGGGTCTGCTGGATTGGTGGGACCGTGACAGAATCTCCGGGGAGGCTGGAGGACCGGAATGGTGTCCGGCCAATGGAAGATACGGGGGGTGGGGTCTACTGGGGATCCGGGGCCGTGATCTGGTGTTTGGGAGGCTCGGCGCAGACCCGCTCGCGGGGCGTCTCCGCTGGGACGGGGCGGGGCGGCCCGACCGGAGCCAAATAGCAAGGCTGAGACGTGGGCCAGGACGGGCTGCAGGGCCGCTGAGCGCTTGGGCGGGTCTTACCTCGGGCTCCGCCGCGGTGGCCACCGCAGCCCCCTCCTCTTCGGCGGAAGCTGCCTCCCACCCTCCGCCCCAGGGTCGGGCGGGAGATGGCAGAGGAGGCCGAGGCCACCGAGGGTCGGACGGTTCCGGGAGGGTGGACCCAGCAGCCTCAGGGTCCGGGCGAGCGGCCGCTGCGCATCCCCCGCCCTGTCAGAGAGACTCCGCCCGGCCTGGGCAGGCACATCCCCCGCTGCACCCCGCCCAGAGAGCACGCGTTGGACCGCCGCCTCAACTGCTGCCAGCGGCCGCCTCTGCCGGTGCAGCTACTGCCTCCGTCGCCGCCTCTCGCGGTCCTGACTGTCCTGTACTCTCTCAACAGCCACAGTCAACCGTCGCCGCGTCCCTTGTCCGCTTCGGCCGCGCGCCCCCGACCCCGCGCACGCAACCCCGCCCCGCGCGACTCCACGGCTGCAGGCGAGCAGGCGCGCGCGCACTTACCTCCCACGCCCCCTACTGCCAGCCTGGGTCGGCCCCGCCCGGTCCCGCCCGGTCCCGCCCCCGCACGTGACGCCACCGGAGAGTACAGCGTGCGCTTGCGCGGACACGCCCCATTTCCTAGGCCCCAGGCCGCCCCGCCCAAATTTTTCTTCCTCACCTTACGGCAGAGCGGGGAACTCTGCCTTAGATTCTCCCTGTACTGGAGAGGGATGTCGCAAGGTTGGGGAAGAAACCTCTGGGTTTGCGACCGTAGCTGTCGATTTCCGGCCAATACAGAGGTGTCTGAAGGCTGGTTGGGGTGGTGAGGCCCGAGGCAGGTAAGAAGCCTCCTCCCCACTTTGGTTTGTCTCAGTTTGTCCCGGCAGTGGATCGCTTCCCCATTCACTCAGATTCTGGCGTATCTGTGCTCCCTCCCGATTCTGGACCTGGATTCTCAGCGCCGCCGGTCACAGCCCCCGCCCCCTTTCAAACACGCACGCTCTCGCCTCCCACCCACCCTCATTGTCCCCGCCCCGACCTCCGTTTCCAAGTCTTCGTTTCCATTCATTCCTCAGACTTTTTCACTGAGTGGTTTCCATGTCTTGGGTTCCAGAATGTCAGAGGCGAATGAAATAGTCTCAGCTTTTTGAAGTGCTTTTATATAGGAGACCGTGAGAGAATCCGCAGTAGTAGTACAATAAAGTGATAATTGAGAAAAATGCACGGGATGCTGTCTGCGCACAGAAGAGGGGTCCCAGGTTGTGTAGGAGGAGAACGTGAGGAAGCCCTTTCCAAGGTGACTTTTGGGTCACTTTTAGAGGACTGTGTTAAAAGACTAGTGATCCAGTACCTGGTCAAAGAAATAAGAGAGGAGGTAAAAGAGAGAATAACGGGTGCAAAAGCATGTGACAGTGGTGGTTTGAAAGAGTCAAAAGAAAAGTAAAATCTGATGGAAACCGTACTGTAGACTTCCCTTTAAAGAAGCATCATTATAAAGTGAGGGAAATGAGGAACCAGAATATGGCCCTCAGGAATGTTTTCTGTTTAGGTAGAAGACTCAAAAGTGTACACGAAACCGAGAAGTGGACTCTTCGAGGGTGAGGGAGGCTAATTTACAAGATCGAGAGCACTAGTGGAAAACAACCTTGTATGTGCATTTCAATCACCTGGGAAACTGTTAAAACCAATACTGTTGCCCCACTCTAGACCAATTAAATTCTGTGTTTTGCCAGGTGTCAGTACTGTTTTAAAGCTCCACAGGTGACTCTAATGCTAAAGATTGAGACCCACTAAACTAGAGAGAAGTTGAGGGAGTTGGCTCTGTAACATTAAGATGGAGGTCATTTAACTATGGAGAGGCTTGGAGATGGAATGAGAAACTTGAGTGGCGTTATGTTTTGAATAACTGGTCTGGGAAATGGGAGAAGGAGCCACTCTTGCCTTTCCCTTCAGCACTGTTCATTCCTCAGTGTTTATCAGGTCCAACTTAGTTACTCGTCTCTTTGCTCTCCCTTTCCCTTCCATCCAGAATTAGTCAGCTGTTGTCTCCAGCCTTACCGCTCAAAGGCCATCCCCAAATCTTTCCCCAAAAATGATCAGAGCTAAGCCAATTTATGAGATGCAGAGACCAACATCCAGAGCTAAGCCAATTTATGAGATGCAAAGACCAACATCCACTCCCGTGAGATTACTACATACAGTGCCTTGCCAATTTAGAATCTTTTTCTGTTATTTATCATTTAAATTAGTAATGAGATATAAAGATATTTAAAATACAGCTCTATTAGGATCGAAAATTACCGTATTAGGGACAACTAGGCCTTTAAACAAAGAATTAGCAGGCAGAGAAGCTGTATGAGGTAAAGACCAAGACAGTGTATGGCTGCTATGTATTAACTAGGGTTAATCCAAAAACCTGTCTATCTGACCCAGATAAGAACGAGTTATTGTTGTCTAGTAAAGCTAGAGCATAGCATGGAGAGTAGAGGTGGGACAGAGATGAAGATGATAAAGTGGGTGTGAACAGATTATGAGGAGCCTTGAATTCCATGGTGAAGAGTTTAGATTATATATGATACTAGAAACAATTGATAAGTACAAAAAAGGTTCTTAACCTCTTTTACCCAGTGGACCTCGTTGGCAGTCCAGCTTATAGACTTAGTCTCAGAAAAATGTTCTTAAATGTATAAAATAGAATACATACTAATATAAAGGAAACTAATTTTTTTAAGTTTTTAAAATATTAAATGTGTGATATATATGCACTTTATGCATCAAATAAAATCTGGCAGCAGGTCTAATTATATAATTTCTAAGTAATGATGACTATATATTTTGAAATGCCTGCAGCAACTTTAATGTGATGTGAAAATATCAGATTTCTATTGGTAAAAAAAGAGAATGCTAATACTGTAGTTTATGGTCCACACTTATTGAAGAAATGCTAAATTTCAGCTACTGATTATTGAAAACAAATTGTTTTCCCAGTCTAAGTTCACAGAACCCTGATATTCTAGCCACATCCTGGTCTATGGATCCTAAGTTTAAAAATATCTCAGTGTAATGGTTTTAATCTAGAGCATGACATCAAATCTATGTTTCAGAAAAATGATGAAGCAGTGTTCACTTCCCAGCCTCTCTGCTGGGATGAGAAGCTGGCTGTTTTCTTCTGTGTCTCCTTTACCTCTGGGGCAGCAACCAGTACTATCCCACTGTTTCCTAATAACCGAGGCCTGCAGAGGGACTAAGCTTGTGGATGTATATATCTGTGAGAGCAATACCAGAAAATAAATCAGGAAAGGTAGATTGGGGCTATTTTTGTGGAAATCATTGAATGCCAGGCGATAATTTGTAGTTAATTTGGTAGACAATGGAGGGTTGTTAAAATTTTTGGAGTAGAATAATGTGATTAAAGTTCTGTTTGAAAATCTAGAATAATGTGCAGGTTAGATCATCTAAAGAGAAGATAGGAATGAAGAGACTAGACCAATAAGTTAATTTTTAAAAAACGGAATCTTGGGCCAGGTGCAGTGGCTCAGGCCTGTAATCCCAGGACTTGGGGAGGCTGAGGCAGGAGGATCACTTGAGCCCAGGAGTTCAAGACCAGCCTGGGCAACAAAGTGAGACCCTGTCTCTCCAAAAAAATATAAAAAAGAAGAAGAAAATTAGCCAGACATAGTGGTGCCTGCCTGTGGTCCCATCTACATGGGAGACTGAAGCAGGAGGATTACATGAGCCCAGGAGGTCGAGGCTGAAGTGTTCATGCCACTGCATTCCAGCCTGAGTGACAGAGAAAGAGCCTGTCTCAAAAAAAAAATCTTGAGGTGATCTCTAGAGAGTCTGCTAAATTCCTTTATTTCCACAATGTGCTGACCAGGCTAGAGTAACATACATTGGAATAAATTGCATACCTTTCAACAGGAATATATACCCCAGTGTGGAAGTCAGTTAACATTTTATGTGGTCAAGAGGCTAGCCCAGTCTTTTGAATTATAAATGATATTGTTAGTACTTCTAATAAAGCAATGGCCTTACCATAAGTTCACAGATCTTGCCAAGGCCTTCCTCAGTCAAATTCCATCTATACCTGTGAGTCCTACATTTCTGACTTTTAAAAGTCAGAACTCCTCTCTCTCTGCCAATTCCTTAAACTTCTTGGATGGGAAAGAAGTTTAGTTTAAACACATTAGCAAAGAACAGAAAGTCCTCAAGGCCCAGGCAGCCCATCTCCTTCGAAACTGATCAATACCAGACTGTAAAAACTTACTGCTCAAATCCAGCTAGTACCCAAATTATGTACTTTTTAAACGTATTCTAAAGAATTGAATTTGGGGTTCAGGTATTACTGATCCAAATGAGTCCTATAAAATTAATTTCCAGAACTAGGTTCTCAGAGAGGCCACCATTACCACCTTCTTCAGCGTGACTAGCCTATAGTGACTTTCTGTCCATCAAATAATTGGAGGCCATCTGGGTGGTGATACGAAAAATCAAGTTTATGGAGAACTTGAGGTTCAGCTATCTGATACGTTTTGCAGGAGGAGGAGGAGTGGGTCTATCTGAAATCAGAAATAATACTTTTATGAGGCTTTTTAATGATTTTTATTACTTACAGAAAATTTCTGAGAGTTCCTTTCTCTGGCTCCCAATTAAATGGCTTACTCCACAATCAACTTATATAAGCACTGGATCATTGTCTTGATCCCAAAAAATTTGTCCCAACTGTAGTTACCATTTTGAGCATCTGTGTTATTGTTTGAAAACCTTAGGCTTGCTTTCCCTGACGGCCAGTGAATAAAACTCTCAAAGAGGTGTGATTCATTACTCATTCATTCATTAGATATTTATTGAACCTCTACTATGTGCCAGGCACATTTTTGAAACCCACTAATGAGCAATTTGTAATGACAATTTACCTTTTAACTATCTATGAGAAAAGTAACTTGCCAGGATTTGAAATCCTCAGAACAAATGAGATTAAAAGATCATATTTTTTTATGTTCTTTCAAATAGTGTGTTTGCATAGAGTTGCCATGTGCTGACCACAGTGATTATCTGTGAAATGAGGTAAATCGTGGCTTTAGCTTAACCACTCCTTATCAGACTTTGTTACCACATGTACTAAAATAAAGTTCTATCTACACCTTTATAAAATATTATCTTACACAGATGTCTTATTAATTCTAATGGCCTCTCCACACCTGGCCCTCACTCCTAGTCATTTCAAAGTTTGCAATTGTGTAAAGTCATTTCTCAGAAAATTTGAAGCAAAACTAAGTCACCACAAGAAAAACTTGGTATCTACCAGGTTTATATTGAGGACAAAAACTGTGACACAATTACAAATGGAACTTTTTTTTTTTTTTTTTTTTTTTTTAAATAGAGTTTTGCTCTTCTTCCCCAGGCTGGAGTGCAATGGCGTGCTCTCGGCTCACCACAACCGCCACCTCCCGGGTTCAAGCGATTCTCCTGCCTCAGCCTCCCGAGTAGCTAGGCTTACAGTTGTGCACTACCACGCTTGG